GGAGAGGGGGACTCCCTCCCTCCACACTGCTTCTCCTGCTGCTGCAAATCTGGAAAGAGAGAGGATTTTACAAACAAGAGGAAGACCTGCAGTAAGCAATCATCGCATGGCACAAAGCCCACAGACCACCCTGGCCGCTCACCCTCCGTAACCAGCCTTTTATCCAAGGAAGAAGAACGAGAGCAGCCCCAGAGCCACGACCAGCAGCCTGCTGCTTGCCGCCTGACCGCCTGCAACGTGCATCTTCAGACGGCCGCGTCCCCCCGCTCAGGTTCTCCGCAAGCGGTCTCCTCACCCTCACTTAGGCGTTCCTTTTCCTGCAGAAGCTCCTTCGAGAGCCCATCGCACAGCAGCGGGAGTCAAAGGAAAACGGGAGCTGCTCGTTCTAGGGCAGCGCTCGCTGCATATCCTTTCCCTTTGGATTCAGGTGAAGACCAACCCTGGGCGCGCTGGGCTCTCCTGCACTCTGAGCATGTCGTCAGCAGCGACAGTCACATGAGCCCTCCACCTCCTGCAAGGGGCAGGAGCAGAGAGGCACGGGGAGCAAGGGCAAAGGGAGCCGGCTGCCTGCACCGAGCGCAGCTCCTGACCCGCAGTGCCAGGGCCTCAGCCCGAGGCAGGCGCAGCTCCTCAGGCAGCGCTCAGGACGTTTTCCTGGCAGAGCGCGTTCCCCAGCGCTGAAACGCGCCCGGTTGCCGTGCTGCAGGCGCGGCACGCAGATGGCTGAAGCTGACTGCGCACGGGCTTTAAGATGGGGAATAACTTGTTTCTAATGCTATGTGCTTACAGAAGCACTGGAAGTTAAACAGGTTTAAAGCTGTACAATGAGAACTTCGGGGTCTCCTTCACGCACTTAGCAATGCAGATTCCTGACAGCAGTGAGTCAGCCATCGACTGACTGCAAAAGCCTTTCTTTTCCCACGTGGGTGACATCTCACTTGCTAACTGGCTAGTGGCAATGCTTTCTGCTTACTGCCTCCCAGAAGGCAGGCAATGAATTTATCTGTTGCCCTCAAGAAATATGCCAGTGTGCTTTTCACAACCCCTCCAGGGCCTCATTAGCACCCTTTATCTTACCACTCTATGCACATAAGAGCTCAAAGGGGCAACTGATTAAGTTCTTCTGGTTCCAGCTTCCCAATGGTAGCTTGTCATTTGTATCTGTATCTCACAAGTTTGAAACATTACACCTTAGCAAAGGTTGACTGGTCCTGTCCTTGTGCTGGCTGGCAGCTCAGCAGGGCATTCTGCTGCTCTGGAAACTGTACCTGTCTGTCTAATGCGGAGGTCAAGGATGGATGCAGCTGAAGAAAGTGTGCCCAAGTGACAAAAGCACTGCCAGCTGAGGCAACACCGGCAGCAACATGAGGACTTCCAGGTTTGAATGGCTGACAATATCACCTACACCAGATGTAGTCAGGGTTATAGTTTCAACTGTTCTTCTCACATACCTGCGTACTAGCTTATCATCCTGTTACACCTTAGATAGCATGTTGTTTGCTGCTATTCTATTTCTCAATTCTTTCCTTCAGAGCTCAAAAGGAAAACAGCAAGCCTCCTTAAATCCTACAACAAAATAAAACGTTCAAAAGGATGGAAAGTCTTTTAAGTTTTCCTTCAAAAGAAATGAGGAACACAGATCTGCTTTCATCATACTACATTTTAAAGTATGTCCAGAAGCCACTGTGATATTCAAGCATTACACCTGGTTCCTGCACACCCAGAGGCTGCCTTCCCACTGCAATCAGCTGAGGAAGAGTCATTTAAGAAAAGCACAAAATAACATGGCATCATTGCCAAACTTAAACTCCCAACCAGAACTGCTATTCAGAGGGAATAATTTGTATCTTAAACAGTTTTGAAAAGCACTATCAAGGTAATGCAGTACAACTTACCTTGATAACAAACAACAGACAGCAATATCTAAGTAAGGAGGCAAATTATTTGCAAAGATATCTGTTCCAATAGTGCTTCTATTAAGGAACCTGGCTTTGTAAATCTTTTATTTCTTTTGAAATGGAAGAGGACCACAGACACAATAATCTAACTGACAATGTATTTGGGGATCCATGAAGCTTTTTACAGAACCTTCTTCAGAGGGTCTTAAATTAAGCTCTCAAGGAACAACAGGGAAAGTTCTCTCATGGAAGAGCAACTGGCTGAAGACATAGTATCTTAAAGGCTAAATTCATTGGTTTCCAAACAGAAGGAAAGCAACAGTGGAATCCCACTCATTCCTGTTTGCTTTGGAGTATGCAATAGATCTGTAAGTCATCCAAGAAAGTAGTGGCAACCAGCACCTTCTCAGCTGGCTGTGAAGAGCTATGGCTGGATTACTGTCAACAAAGCAAGGCATGGGCTGGAGGGATATGAGAAGACAACTGTAAATGATGTGAAGCTCCAAGTTGGTATGTCTGAAGAATTCAAGTGTCTGTGGATAATTCTCTGCCTCAATACTCAACAACAATCAATCAACAAGGAAATAGCTTTTTATAAATTCCATAAAATAAAAAATAGAAAAAGATTTGCTGCTGTAGAAATGCATCTTGAATACCCTGTGTAACGGTATTAGAAGTATAGGAAAGAAGAAGCAGGCAGGATTCTGGTTTTAAACAACTTCACTAACAAAAGCCTCCAACCATACGTCAGATAGCAAACACAGCACGCCAGACAAGTCCCAACTAGGCACGTGCAGAAGATTATCATAATACAAACATCACTTAGCACATATCCAGCCACAGTAGAGCTTGTGCAACTGTTCCACCTGCATGACAGGCTGCACACCTGACACACTGCTGTCAGCAACCATGTTCTGAATTCAGCAGGGGAAATTCTGTAGAGAGAACTGAAATCAATGTTTAGGGAAAACTATTTCCCCTTTTAAATTTCCCCTTTTCCTCCAGTTTCAAAACCCACAAAGAGTTATGTTTCCTGAAAACAGAAAGAGCCCCTTTTGCTGAAACTGCTTCTCTCCACAACCAAGTTTACTAAAGTGATAAGGAGCAGACAAACAGCTGTTCTGCTGCCACACCACAGTCTCCTTCAGCCCTGTCCTCACCAGCTTTATTCCAGCTTGCACATTTCAGTGGGGCAGACCTCACCACTGCAAGGACCAAAGACAGCCATGCTCAAACAGACTTCACTGATTGCTGACACCAAGGTTTTTTTTTGATAGAAGCAATTGCAGCCTTCAAATTCACTGAGCAGAGATGGACAAACTCTTGTTTAAATAAGGAGGGAAACAACTGAGTGCTGTTTTGGGAAAATAGCAAAACATTTACATAAACTATGTTATCTATCACTGTTTCGAAAGTAAGAATAGAACAACTATTTCCTTGCAAGAAGTTAGAGAAAGAATTTAACCCATTCTCTAAATATTAGACATAATTCCTTAACTTCAGACATCTGATATCCAAAAAACTATGGAAAAAGCAGTTTGCAAGAGCAGGTAATAAAACCATGAACTCACAATTCCATTAACAGCAAGAACAAAGCAATTATTTCCTACGTATCTCATTTTGCATTAACTAACATGTGGCTGGACTTTCTTCTGAACAAGTTATTATTATGAGCTTTAGATGAGGTGAAATGAACTCCCAAGGATGTTCATTTATAAAACTGATGCCCATCACTATGTCAGGTTGGAATAAGGACAGTGCCTAATATCTGTAACAGAGCTCATCTGTCAGGACTAGCCATTGTCCCTTCCATTAGCTGCAGTCAGCATAACTCACAAAATAGCATGTCTTGTACACATTCCCTTCACACACAAAGAAGCACTTATCACTCAGAGCTGATGCAAGCACAACAATAACACACTAATTGTTCCCATGCTTGAGCCTTAAAATGATAAAAGGGACCAACTACAAACTCCTTACAGTATCTCCAGGGAAGAGTGGGTTCAGCTACTGGCAGGTGACAAGCATTTGAGGAGGTTTGTCTTCATTTGCACTACCTTAGGGCAGATCACGCAGGCAAGGAGTAAAACAGAAGGGTTACTTTTTAATTTTTGCCCTAGGATAAATAGGAATGGGGAAAGAAGAAGATAAAAGGTTTATGGGAAGTCATGGAGACTTGCAATCTGCTGTTCAAATTCAATACTTTTGCTGTGAAACAAACTTATGATTAGAAAAATTTGACTTTGTCTTCTTTGAGTTATTAGTTCAGCGATACACTGCAGATTAATATCTCCCCTCCTGATTTCACAAATCCAGACTCTGATTAGATAGAAGTAGCAACAGATCTTTCCTTTACAACAAGTGGTGATAAAGCTGTTCATGCTGCTCAGCATCAGACCCCCTTCCTCTGTTGAAGGTTTTCCTATCCACAGCAGTAAGGCCAAGGACAATCTTTAAAATTATAGGCAAGGAAAAAAGGAAGCAGAAAGGGCAGTCTGTTCATATCACAAACTCCTCTCAGTCCTTTCACATCTACAATAAAGATACTTCCCCCATAGCGTGGCCAGCTCTTCCCTACAACAGCTACTTCTGGAAATTCTAGAAAGGACTACTCAAACATAAAAAACAAAGTGGTAAGACAGGATATGCTGCATTTAATATGAAGATGATCACATAGATGGTTAACAGAGCAGCTTTCCTCCCTGCCACATTACTGTATGCCAGTACTGAAGCAACTCACATGCTGGAAAAAAAACATGCAGTGCCTCTCCATTACACTGAAGTCATTCACATGCTTCTTGCAATTGCCATTTATTTTAAGGTTATTTTTTACTTTGCAGACAACACACTTCCCATCAACCACTGTTAAAAAAGCAACACTGGAAGCCAAGTGTAACACATGAACAATTGTTTGGCCATTCTGCAAAAGACTATTCACAGTTATAACGCAATGCAGAATACTGCAAACTGTGCTGGTGCCAGGAAAGGCTTGTCTTTCACACTAGGCAGAGACCACAGAGATCCACAGAGAAAATATTAACAAGGAGTCCTACCAAAACACAATATAAAAAAAAAAAAAAGAGGATAGATGCACGGTATTACCTCCCATCTCTCTGTCGAGTGGTGGATCGTCATCTGCCATAGAGAAGTCCAGAGATGCTCCTACTATTTCTAGCATATCTTCATCACTAGTGCTGCTTTGGAAACTCCCTCGTCGATAGCCTTTCTGATCCATGGCCAGAGCTTCCAAACCTGGGAGCAAATGGAAAGGTTTAAGAGTAGAAACGTTTTTAGAGTAGAAATGTGAAGACATTTTAGAAAAAAACTGGGCAAATGTCAACTGGACATTTTGTCCCAAAAATACAGGAGGCAGCATTGCTCTTCCCATCAGAGGGGAAGACATACAGCAGTATTAGGACACTTGTGGTCTTGAAAGGTAACATGTTTAGAAAACTTTACACACCCATTTGCATACCCCCAATACCAAAGGCAGCCCTTGTACTGCAGCCACGCCTGCCTCCCAGACAGCCTGTGCAAGCACACCAACTCCCCATCTTTGAAAGATGGCAGCACACATGATAGACCTAACATACAGGAGGAAAGGATCCAAAACAGAGCCATAGTGACTTTTTTTCCTCTGTTTCATTTTCCACGGTACCCTTGTATTTATTGCTAAACTGATGTGCAAAATCCCCGTCAGAGGACAGAACCACACCAACACAGCCGTGTGACACTGCGCAGACATGCCAAGCTCACTTGCCTCCTGCAGTCACTTCTCCCTCCTTCTTTGAGGTGTACACAAATTATCAAAACAGCTCAAGTGAATAATGATTTTTAGTTACCTGAACACAAAACTTCAAAATTCCATTCACTGATGGAAGCGTGCTACTAAACTTCGTAAACATTCTTGATCAAGTGTTCTTAACCCACTGCCTGACCTGGCCCTCTCAAGGAGATGCCGGCAGTAAGCTACAACACAAAACCTGTCTTCTGCCCAGAGAAGTATGGGTGCCCCACACCTGGAAGTGCTTAAGGCCAGGCTGGATGGGGCCCTGGGCAGCCTGACCTGGTGCATGATTTAGTCAGGCTGGAACCCTTCCCAGAGATGGGGGTTGAAGCTAGACGACCTTCGAGGTCCCTTCCAAAACAAGCCATTTTGTGATTCTGCAACTGCCTAGGATGGCAGGGAAACGGTGAGAGCACAAGAAGATCTAAGCATTTAATAATAGCATAAGTTGGGAGAAAAAAGATATAATCAGGACTCAGCCTCAAAAATAGCCCATGGAACACAAAAATAGAAAGCTTTGCATCCCAATGAAATGATAGGCCACGTTCACTTTTCTCTTGTATACACGAGAGAATTAGAGAGGAACCAAATATGCAGCTCAGCCTTAATTCAGGAAGGGAAAAAAGCAGCATGTGCAAACAGTCTGAATTACACAGTCTGCAAAAAGCACTTCCTATTAACAAAAAAGCACCACTCCAAAAAAACGTTGGCACTGCACAGCAAAGTGACACACTGAGCTCTTTACTGAGTCTTACGCTGTAGAAAACAGTGTTGCTTAACTTTTAAGCCCTGTTTATTCACTAAACTGGTGCAGAACACACCAGTAAAGAAAGTGCTGAGCACTTGCTGCTGGGAACTTGTTGTCCAGGAAGGCACATGAGCTGCTGGACTGTGCTCTGCCAGAACCGATGCTTTTAACACATTCCAAAAGCACAAAGGCAAACCAGGTTAAACCTCAATCGGTATGCACACAAAACTAATGGTGCTTTTTTTTTTTTTTTTTTTGAGCTCAAAGCTATTATTTGCCAGCTAATAATAAAATCAGGTTTCACTGAGTGCTGTGCTGTCCCTCAGCTAATCTGCTCCCAGGAAGCACAGCTGCCTGCAGCAGAGGGGACAGGGCCAGCAAGACTCATCCCAGCAGAGAGCTACGAAACTGTGCTTGTGCATCACAGGGCTAACACACACCAGAACAGCCTAATAGGTATCTTCCAGTAAGACTGCATGTAAGCTTATGTGTGAACGAGGGTTAAAAGAGATCTGCGTTCATATATTTCTTCTGCACTGAAAGCATGAATTCCCAGCCCTGCTAAAGCTGCCTCCCTTAGCAGACAAGAGGCACACAGCTGCCAGCACTCACTGCCTGTTCCAAAGGGAGGAAACTGGAGCAGTGTCAGCTCCTGCTCTCTCCTCTTTATCCCAAACTTTGCTCTCACTCACAACAAAACCAAAAAGCAAACCAGTCTCCAGTACTGGCAGATACTGGGTAAACATCTAGCATCTATACAGCTGGAAAATGACACAGAAGATAATTCAATGACCCACTTCTTTCACAAGTCCTGAACCCTAAATCTTGAGAGATACAGCTTTAAACCACTTTTTTTTTTTTTTTTAAACAATAATATCCCTTCTATGAGCAAGCAATACTTTGCCATGCTAAATCACACACACAAAAACACAGCGACTGTTCTCATGCTTATCTCGCGATTAATGTATCACAATACTTAGACAGCTGCTGCTTCTTTCCTATCAGACCACGCAGCAGGGTGCTGGCATGGTTTGCACACTCTCCAGGACCCTCCCATTGCAATCATACATACCAAAGGGCTGCGGGCGCTCCCAGCGCTCCAGTGGGTACCAAGCCATCCTTCTGGAGATGCTCCCGTTAAGCTCTTCTACTTTTTATCAGCCTGACATTTTTTTCCATCTCAATAAGGCAAAGGGAAGCAATGAAACAGAACCCGAAGAAGCCAGCCCTGTGATGCCTGGACGTGACTCAGCAACAGCAATCAGGAAGCCCAGAGTACCCCATTGCCATTCTGGTTGAAAAAACCCGCCCCTAATCTCTGTTACGATGTTGGCTCCATTGCTTGCAACATTTAAATCAGCATCAGATACTGCAGGCTTTTTCTCCCTGTTTCATGCTTTGACACCATCTCCCACCCACATCCTGCAGACCTGTTCTCCTCCTTGTCAGACCTTGTCTTGGTGCTCTCTCGGTTCTGAAACTATTTCCCCTTCCCTTCCCGCACACACCAGCCCAGAGATACAGAAGGGCTGCTAAGCTAAGCAGGGGGCCTGGAGCAGCTCTTCAGGAATGCAAACCTGAGGCTTTCGAAGTTGGAACATGCTAAAAGTTTCCAAAACACTATTTCCTCCTCATCTGATACAAGGCTTGGCTCCAGCTCCACCACCAGCACAAAGACATTATGCTCTTTAAAAAGAGCATGGAGTAATTCTGATCAGCTGCTTCCATGAGTCATTCTTCCTGAGGGGAAGGAGCAAGTTTACCACCTAGCGGCTACTTTAATTTGAGAAATCAAGGGCCAGACCACAAGGCTACTCTTTTTCAGAGATTAGCAAATCAAAGCCGAGCTTTAAAGCTCACTGCAATTCTTCTTCCCTGTCCCACTTTGGTGTTTCATCCCAAGCGCCATGTTCTCACCACAGTATCCCTCTGCACAACAAGACCCACAACTAAAAAACCACAGCAGAGGGCAAGAGGAGTCAGCAGCTTCAGAGCAGAGGAGCCTACACCATAAGAACACCACCAATGCATTGGTCGACTCAGTAAATTGTTCTGGGCTTCGTCATACCACAGTCCATGAAACGTAAACCTGGGAGTCCCAGGTTCCCACGTGCAGGCTGGTAGTTACAGGAGGAAGCGAGCACAGCTTGCAGGGAGCACTGCTGGGTCACCCCTAGTGACCAGGCAGCACCAACCCAGCCTCCCAGCCTGCCCAGCAGAGCCTCAGTTCCACTGGGATGGAGCTGTGGCACATGCACAGACTGTGCTTTTCAGACAGAGGAAAGGGGTGGGTGTTTCTTTTTTTTTTTCCATTTTCACAGAAGATCAAAAGAAAATTCTTGATCTTAACAAACTAATTGTAATTTCTTCTTTAAAAGCTCAACATCAAAAGAGCACGCATACAGAAGACTTCCATGTGTGCGTCTCACACAGTTGCCCGGGTTCAGCTGCTAAGGAAAGACGATACCAGGTGAGAGCTGCAGCATAACAGATTGCTGCTGTAACACAGCCTCAGAAGTTCATAGGAAGATTTGAACTAAGCAGCTTTGTGACCTGCTGCAGCAGCAACACAAATATTGTACAGAAAGGGCCAGAAGTGTCACATGCACCCCAATAAAAGAAAGCAGAACATTTCTGTTACAGCAGGGTGCTGCTATAACAGGCTGCTCCCTGTGAAACCCTCCTGCTCCCAGAAGATATCAGAAGGATTTTACCACCACACTATAAAGCACAAACGTCACAAACACAAGGGGAGCTCTCCTCTTTGGATTTTTTCCCAGCAGAAGCAGCACCCTAAAACGTTTGCCCTCATCTGAAAACAAATGTTCAGTTCCAACAAGCAGTGCAACCTGCAGAAAGTACAAACCCTGGGAAGTATTATTTTGTTGCTTTCTAAAAAAATATGACAATTTTAAGTCATTCCTCCAATTCTTTGTGCTGTCCAAAGACCTGAAGCAACAGCCAGTGAGCTGATGACTGACAGGAGTTTTAAAGCCATGCTCTATATCCCTCCAGGTGCAGAAAGATCTTCAAGGATAAATGAAATGCTATTTCAGTACATAAAACGTTTTATTAGCAATGCCACGGTTTCACAAGCAGCACATAAATCATTTAACAGAAGGGTTTAACAGTTCAGTGAAGATTATCAACATGCCTTTCGTCACTGCAAAAGGTAAGTATATGGTTGTAAAATTATTTATTTACCTATATTGACTTCTTGCTGTCCTGCTGCCTGCTTCTAATCTGAACAGCAGACAACTGCTTCTCCTTTGAGTATTTGCCCACCTTTCTTCAAGTGGGGTGGAGAACGGGCTCTGGGGCTGTTCTGAGATCCGCAGCTCAAAGCAACACAGCACACTCTCCACAATCCAGGTCAGTTGCTGCCCTCGCTGCTGTTTGAGCAATAGCAAACAATGGGCAAACTGTTGTACAGCGAAACCAGCCTGAAACAATAGCTTGTTTTAAAGAAACTGGGAAATCGACCAACACAATCCAAACACAAATGCTTAGAGCTGAATTGATTTAGCATTTATATGTGGTCCTTTTGTTTGTTTTTAAACATACTCACACAAGCCCTAGGGAGATGAACAGTAAGCCACAACAGGATATTCTATGCTATGATCTGACATTGTTAGAGCAAGATAACGTTCATGTCAAGCTTTACCAGGTAATGCTAGATAGAAAGCGACTCAGAAATCCTGCCATGTTTCAGGTTTC